GTGCATCACGTCTGGAATAGTCTTCACCGTGCCATTACTCATCCTCAGCTTCACCCTGCCACGCCCGACAATTTGAACTGCAGTATCATCTCCGAGCATGACATCCCCACCATTATATTGCTCATATTCACAAAACCAGTGTCTATGAGGCGTCATGTGGTATGAAGCACCGGTATCGATCAACCATATATCCTTGTCTGACTGCGCCATACACGCAGCAGCCAAATACATATCTCCTGCATCGACCTCCTTTTTACCCGAGGATGATTCAGCTTTTTTCTTAAAAACTGGCTTGTTTTTACAGTCCCGCTTCACATGGCCCCACTCTTGACATTTCCAGCACTATACCCTCCTCTCCCTACTCTTCGATCGCCCACGAGATTTGGATCTGGATCCTCTAGGATTCAGAGTCTTCTCTGCTGGCCTTCCCCTGGCCGTCAATGCCTCTTTACCGGAATTTCCCGATCCCTTTCTTCGTGTCTCCTTCGATAACAAGGCAGAACACACACTTTCATACGATAATTCCTTATCCCCACCCCCGATCACCACAATCAGGTTATCCCATGAATCCGGCAGTGAACAGAGCAGTGTTATTGCCTTATCATCATCTTGGAACTTAACACCGATTGATACGAGTTGACTAATCAATGTGTTAAAGTTATACAGATGTGCAGAAAACGAGTCGCCCTCATGCATCCGAAGATTATACAGCTTTTTCCTCAAAAACAGCTTATTAACCAACGACTTACTTTGATACAGCGACTCCAGTTTCTGCCATAGGTCCCTGGCTGTAGGTTCCCCCATCACGTTTGTCAGAATCGAGTCTGCGAGACAAAGCCGAATCAAACCCTTTGCTCTCCGATCAATCCGATTCCAGTCTTCAATCTCCTTCGGATCTGCCGGTTTGGAAGTTGAATCCCCATCGTTCACCGCTTCCTTGCCTATCACGACACCAGGTTGCGCAGCAACAGGCCTTTCCGTTTCGATTGCCGACCAGAGATCTCGATCACAGAGAAGATCCTCCATCTTCATCTTCCACAGATCAAATCGCGTCCCATCGAATTTTTCTATCTCAATTCGTGATCCTCCTGACATCTCGAATAAACCTTAATTCCTCGAACAACTCCGGCTCTGATACCAATTGAAGGGATGTATCGAGAACCGAAACAGAACGATCACGCAGAAAAGAGAAAATAGACGATGCACGAATTTAGTTCACCCTCGATTAGGGCTACGTCCCGCAAAGAGATTTCACTATGTTTTCGGTTTAGTACCACTCAACTCGTTACAATGATCGAAAACGAGTAAAATATATATATGCACCAAACGGCCCAAAACCTAAACCTATATGAAATCTCTTAATCTCGCACCACATGGGCCAGCCCAAACCCGTTGAGGTTTCGGGCGCCGCCCCGAGCCCGCCCGCTCACGGCGAGCGGGGGCCGTCCGCCGACCGGCAAAGCAAAACCCCGTCGGCGCGCCCCGAACCCCCGCCGCTGACAGCGGCAAGGGCACCCAGCGTGGGCGCCGCCCGAACCCCGCATTCCGCACGCATGGGTCACGTGTCGTCGAACAACACTTCAGTTTCCCTAAGCTCACGTGGGCGTACCCGGTGTGAGAAACAAGGGTCCTCGAAGTATTTGCCAACTCCAACATGATCGATATTGGGCAAAGGAAAAAAGCGCTGGGGCTCTCAGCTCTCAGTCTTAGATCGAACCTACACCAAATGAGAGAAAGAGAGCATCATCATCCGCCAGCTGTGAAACCCTGCATACACAGCTGTTCTTCTTTTGTTTTCCAGCAAACGCCAAACTAGAAAAGCTCCCCGAGGCCACCAAAGTATCGAATCGGACGGAGCTGAGTGGTTTGAATGGATCGATTTTCAATGTGAATGCGACAGGTTTCTTGTGCTTTGGCTCAAATAATTTGAGACCCCCGGCCCATCACCGTTGAAAGTGTGTAGGAGACGAAGTTGGCTTCATGCATCCATGTTTAAACTAATCAAAACCAAAACAGCTTTATCATAACCCATTAGCGAGCAATTTATTTGTGTTGAGGAAGTCCATCTTAGGTGAGTAAAATACTAAACACGTGAGTTATTCCACCAATATCATTGGGTGGATAAGAGGCAACCCAAAACACAGATAGGTAGTTCAAATATAAGAATGTTTAGTTTTATTTAATAAAGCGTGATGGCTAAATTATTAAAAAATATCCGTGTATGTCATTGGGTGTGCCATAGTCTTTTATCAAAGTTTGAATTGTTAGTTTTTGAAGTTCAATATGCAACCGTTCGCTTGATCAAAATTAAAGTACTTGATAAAGGCTTGAAATATCTTGTGTATATCAACACAAGGATACCTTTAAAAGGGAAAAGGATTGATTTTTTTCGAATGATTTACAAAATGATGTGAGAAACTCTTATTAAGTGCTCGTGTCCCATCACTTATCATTAAAAATCAATTACTAATGTGTCATATCAATTTGTAAACCAAACTTAGTACCCTTGGCAAGAGCTCATCTCCCATAAATAGTTGGAGATGCACAAAGTAATTGACTAACCTATGTCACAAATTTGCATTGGGTGTTAAATTATCTTTACTCACCCGAATACCCTTTTAAAGTCGTTATAAAACGACATTAATTAGAGAAATGCTTGCAAGACAGTAACGTTACTTTATCGAAAGTACCACACATACCCGAGTGTATGTGATCAGGCTTCCATTTTTTAATATTTTTTAAATAGATTGTCAATTTGAAAAACCCACATTTTGGGATACGTGTACCGTCCTCTAAGCATTGTTCTATTAATAATCCTATTATTTCTCCATTTCATATTAACAATGATTGATTAGTGAAGTAATTTCAAGTGTGTTTCATTGCTTACAAATCGAATTTACTCAAGATTCCTTAAAGACCTGTAATGGTTAACTTAGAACTCTGAGCTTGAGTTGAAGATGGATGTTTTGCTTGAAATTTTGAAGAGGATAAAAGTTTAATGGTTCGCATCTTCATATAATCAACTAATCACTAAGGAAAAGTCTAACCACATAAATGGATTGGATAAAGGGAAATTACCCAATCAATTATAAATTTATTATACGGATGCTAATTCATTTATAAATTTTATAATTTTATTAATTTATTTTTAAATTTTTATGTGAAACTTCAATATAATTTTTCCTGTCAATATGGTTTACAGGTTTAAGAGGAATGCTAGCATGGCGGAACAATCACTTTCATACAGTAAAGATGCAAGGAGAACCACTCACTTTCATGCTATAATGGGGGTGGGCTCCACTTACTCTCTCTCTCTCTTTTAGAAACGCTATAATGGGGTGGGCTCCACTATCATTAATCCATTATAAGATTAACAACCTATTTTTTATCAAAAAAAATAAATAATTAAAAATTATTATGAAATCCACTGCTTCAAGAATTTATAATTTACAATATTCTTAGTTCAAATACCATTATGCTAGCAAAGCTTTTTTTTTAATATAAAGAATAATGGAAAGTGAGTGGCAAAAATGGCTCCGTCGCTTCGTTAAAAAGTGATCGAGCCATCTCATAATCATTTCTCTAATCTTAATTAACTTCCCCCACAATAACATGTTATTATTAGTATGTGTGACTAAGCAAAGTCACGTACATATCATCAAGTGAGTCGGATAAAATCCCCAAGGGCACATCATATGCTATGCCATATAATAACACATACAGCTGGGAGTCACCATGCAAATTATTGAGGAGATGCTGTCCAGTTGCTCCGACCGTCAACCCAACTCGGCCTTATCCGACTCACCAACTCTAAAGTAGGCTTCTTTCCCAGCAGTATTCTTCCATCACCGAGTCAAGGGCTTTGAATCTCACTCGATCAATTATTGGCCAGAGCTTAAGCTGGATTGGTCCACCACCATTCAAAGAGCACTTACCCTCCTTCGCTGTCTTATCTCGAGGCTCCCACACCGTGTTCCCACTGACCAAGTTGTATTAACTTAGCCATGCTCCGCAAGTCGTGCCGATTCCGACTACGAATCCTGGGACACGTGATTGTATCGGAGGTCAAGCAAAATACCAAACGGAGTCAGAGGTTTAGGATAAAGATGCCAGGATCTTTATCAGCATGTGAACTCTGACGGCTAAGAAAACAGCACCCGGCACGTCGGTCCTAGAATCAAATCGTTTCGGAAAATTTAATTGGAAAATTTAAGGCAATGAGCGGGACTAGATATGATTTGAGGATGTTAAACCTGGGCGATCGGGTGATAGCCACACGTGAAATTCCGCTTACCAAACCTGGAAATGCAGAACAGCCCTGTCCACCCGTCTGGTGGGGTGTTTGCTGGTGTCTTGTAGCGTCCGAGCACCTCACGAGCGGCTAGGTCTCTCGTCCTCAGCTCATCGAGGCTTGTTCTCAAATCCTCCTTTGCGTCCTCACAAATAAAACCTCAACCTCAACATTGTGTGGATTCCAAACCGGATCAGAGTAAACTACAAACCGCAAGTAACACCCGGTATAAACATCAAAGCATTTGAACACCGAATCAATCTCAGAAAACTATGCTTCAAATTACAAGTACGAGACTCCGTGTAAAATTTTTTCGAGCTGTTTTATTTGCCTCTCCAATTCAACTTAATCAGGTCGACGGGGATCCTCCGAAAAATCATGCTTTACTCTTAACTATGGTTGCCATACCAAACCCTAGCTGATCAAGTTTTCCTGTTCAGTAAAACCACCGGCCGGGCCAGATTGAGCTCAGTAGATAAAGTCGTCCCCCGATTGGCAACCCTCCAACGTAGTAAAGATGAGAAATATAAAAAGACAAACCTTCTTGGTCCACATGATTCCGGGTTTCCAAGGCCATTTTGCTGGCTCCACCAGAGATATCCGACGCGCCATCCAATGCATCAATTCAAGGTAAAAGCAGGGAATGTCCCCTGTTCTCGCCTTCAGATTATGACCACCCTTAGCTTTTCCACTCTCACTATATATATGACCACCCTTTTCTCTCATTTCCTCACAAACCGAGCTTTGCTGCAATAACCCACTTCTGTCTTGAACTGCAAATATAACCACAGAGAGAGAAGGTCCACCTCGACTCTTAGTCAGCTATGGCCATCTCCAAGGTTTTGATTGCCTCTATCCTCCTTTGCCTCCTCCTCCTCAGTCTCGCCGAAGCCGCCGATCAGACGGTACGTCCAAATAGTTTGCGATGTTTAAAAACTATTACCTAGTTATCTATATTAGCTCTGTTTTCGACCGCTTTTGTGATTGACCTTGTGCATATGCATGTTTTCCTAATGTTGCAGGAGAGCACAAAGGTGGCCGGGAGCTCTGATTCAGGCAAAATCGGTGAGCATATGATTAACTCATCTCTCTCTGTGTTTTTCTTCTTCTTTCATGTCTTGCGGAATCAATATTATCTGTACACGGGGATTTATAGTTTACGAGCACAGTAGCGTTCACAGATACATCCGATCAGCACAACTGTGAAAAAGTTTGGACAGGTTTTTGTTGGAATGAAATTACTAACTCATGCATGTGGCACGAACTCTCTTTTCAGACTGCGACGCCGCCTGCGCCGCCCGGTGCCAGCTGGCGTCGAGGCAGCGGCTCTGCCACAGGGCGTGCGGGACGTGCTGCGCGCGGTGCAGCTGCGTCCCTTCGGGCACCTCCGGCAACACCGATGTCTGTCCCTGCTACGCCACCATGACCACACACGGCGGCAGGCTCAAGTGCCCATGAGACCGAAAACATTCTAACTCCCTAGCCGTGCTCTCTCGCCATAGATCTACCGTTTGCCTCTTCGGGTTCTTGTAGTATATACAGATGTTTGTGATTTTGGAGAACTGGGTCGTTATAATGCAAAAGTTTTCGGCTTTGTGAATTATATTGAAGAATGTGGAGGGTTTGGGGACCTTGGGGACATTGTTATGTGCGTCGTCGTTTCCGTTTGGAAGAGTTTGTGTACAGTGTGTATGAAAATGTATCGCAAATAAGTGGCTGATTCCAGTAATGAAAGTGTTGCATACAGAAACATTTTCCCACTATAGTCGTGTAATTTTGGAGGTTTTTCCTTCTTTTTTTTGATATTTAGTCAATTTCTCTCTCATTTAGTTGGCTTTCCCAATCAGTCGAATGAAACGAGGAAGGATAAATTACTCTGACCCCTAGCACTTGGAAGAAATTACTTAGGCACTCCTTGTCTACATATATGACGACCCGATACAATGAGAGCAAGAAATAATCGTGAAGAATCCAAAAGGCCCCGATCGGTAGGTTTTTAAAGTGGCGAAAGTGGGCGAAATGAAGTGAATTTTGTCATGTCAAAATGAAATCACCTAATAAAAAAAGAAAAAGAAGTTAGTGATGGGTTGCAATCGTACGAGCCCTGAAAAGACCGGACAACAGGCAACTCCTAGCATGTTTTTTAAACAGCGAAAAGAACAGATTGAACCGAATTTTGTCATGTCAAAATAAAACCACCCGATGAAAGGAAGAAAGGGAAGTTAGTGATGGATTGGTCTTCGTCCCCACTTGAACTAATAAATCGTTTCTTGGGATCGTCTCAATGTAGAATGATTAAAGTAAATTTTTTTTTTCTTTAACGTTAATCCTAAGTCATTTGTTGAAGTTCACAAGATGTACATATGCTATAGTACCCCGGAATCTTCTTAGGTAGTGGAATAGATTAATCTACAAAAGCCCATTTGGACTTTGGGCCCAAACTCATGTCGGCCCACTATATATACCCCCTCACCCTGGTATTCGACCGTTGGTGGGACTGTAGTTTTGAAACGACGCTTCTCTCTCTCTCTCTCTCTCTCTCTCTCTCTCTCTGCTTCACTGTTCTTTCTTCTCAAGATCGAAACTTTGGCTCTCTCTCTCTCTCTGTCTCTGTGCGTGCTTCTCCTTCTATGATTCGCGATGGTGACCAGGAAAGACGCTTCTGAAGCCTCATCGGACCGCCGGAAGTGGCGGAAGGTCTTCAACGCGCTCGTGGAGATGCTAGGGGCGCAGCAGGCGCAGCTCGTGACTCTCGTCAAGGAGAGGAAGCTCCTGGAGGATCGCATCAGGATGCAGCACAGACGTTGGGACTCCGACGTTCGTTTTCTCAAGGACCGAATCTCTCAGGTACGGGACCGACCCGACCCACCAAAGGGGGGGAAGAAGTCTTTGCGATTGAGCGAGATTTTTTTGATTTTAGGGTTTTGATGATTGGGGGATGGGTTTGGTGGGGCGGGTTTTTCTGATTAGTCATGCGGAATTGTTGTGCAGATGAAGGGGGCTTTGAAGGTGCAAGACATGGCGCACTTTCTCGGGTCGACAAAGTTGGATTTCGCTTTAGGGTTGAAGCAAAGGGAGGCCCTTTTGTACAAATTGAAGTTAGGTTAGTCGCTTTCTCTTTCTAATCTCTTTCTGATATAAGTTCATATAATTCCACCCAATTTCGGATTTTTCTTTTTTTTCATTTGATTATGTTGGTTCTTGTATAATTTCGGGAACCATAATTGAGTCGATGAAGAGATTTCAGTGTTTAAATTTTAGGTTGTAATCTAGAACTTCCTGTCTTTAAGAGCAATTAACTTACTAGCTATGAGATTTGGAGGGAGATGCACCTCTTGTTTTTAGATTGTCTTCACAATCAAAGAGTATCTGTTAGTGATCCATTATTGGTGTTCCCATTGCCTTTGCAGAAGTATAGTAAACCTAGTTATGTGCTTCGGTCTGAATGATTTTGAGTTATGATTCTCTAAGTATTCTCGCTAAAACTGTCTTGTCTATACAGAACAAGCAGATGATGAGTTGGCTGATTTTAGAGGGTGCCTCGATATTATTCCACGGAAATGCTCTGAACTTGAGGTTAGTGTTTTTCGATGTCAATTTTTGTTAGTGCTTGTCTGGGACACTATTGTGAGCTGCAAATTCTCAACGATTCGCAGGAGAGTGCTCAATTAAATAACTCTGCAGAAACCAGAAAAACGAGGAGAGGACTCAGAAGTAGCGATAGGAAGTCTGCTAAAGATGCCAAGGAAGTGCAAGAGGAGCGCACGCACTCGCTGGAGGAAGAAATGAAAAAGTTGAGGCTTGAGTATGATAAGCTCCTTTCAGAAAAGAATTCTGAAGCATCGGCATTATTGGCAGAGAAGAAGTTTGTGTGGCATCAGTATAACATATTGGAAACTGACTTGAATGATAAGTTAAAGAGCAAAGGGGCTGAACTCGATCTTGCAAATCAGAAAATATCGAGACTCTTTACCAGTATGGAGAAGCTTGAAATGATGAACGGTGAGAAGGATAATACTATCACTGAGTTAAAGAATAAAATAGATGAAATGGAAGCCATCTTGGGTAAACGAAATGAAGAAATAGCCAGGCTTGCCCATGAATCAGAAGTACTGAAGAAGAGCATTGTGACACCTGTATTGAGTCGCTGCACGTCAGGAACTAGAACCTCCAAAACAGAGGGAAAAAATAGTGTTGCTCATAAACGCTCTGTCGTTGTGAAGAAAGAAACGGGGCATCCACAAGTCTCTGATTCTCTAAAAGATTCCGAAAAGGTAAACTTTATACTTTGTGATGTTGCATGAAGTTGGTCTTATTAGAAAGAATCTTAATTTATATCTATGCTTCTTGTTGCATGTGTCCCATTTTGTGGTTCTTGTCCTCTGAAAGTTGATGATAGGTATAGGGAAATCAAAAAATAATTAGTTGTAAGATATAGGGAAAAGAGGAAAAAACAGCGGAGGAGTAGTGACACCATGGATTTATCACTTTGTGAAAAGACATCGGCGAGCACCAATGCCATTCATAGTGCTTGGTTCATCAATCAGTGGCATGTAGATGTAGCATTTTGAGGCTGCAAGTCAGTAATTTTACTCCTTGTTCACGGTTACAGTTGACATGATCAGATTTAGGGTATTAACATGTTTTCAGATGCTAAGCATCACCTCCCGCAGAGTAAAAATGCGCTTGCAAAGTATAGGTACTCTATTCTCCTTGTGTCATTCGACTAACTGAGGTCTTCATACAACCCGTTTAAGACGTGAAGTTATTGGAACTGAGAATGTTGCTCGTATTTTCTTGTTATATAACGTTAATGAAACCGAACTAGAAAGTTTTACCATTTCTCAAAGGTTTGAATATTTTGAGCTGATTGAAATGTACTGATTTTGTTTCTTCGTGTCTGAATATGCACTTGTTTTGATGCCAATAGGGAACCGGAAGGTCGAAAAGAAAGGCCATTGCTATTGATACTCCCAAGCTGTTCTCGTCCTCGTTTAAAGTACCCAAATTGAAGGCCTCAGCTGTGAGATGACGCACGACGCATTCCCTTACTCTTAGGTAGGTTGAACTAGAGACGTTATTGTCTGTACTTATTTGTCTAACGCACGACGTTCTGGCCGCAGTGTATTTTATCACTATTTTTCTGGAAGTCAATTCAATTGACCCTTTATAGGTTTGGAGAAGCGTTGTGACCTTCCGAGTGAATATGCTTTGTATATGAGTCTTCATGTTGAGTTCTTGTGCAACTGTGGACGACATGAAAGAAGAGAGTCGACTTTTTTTGTCATTTTCTTGTAAATTTGTGCGTTTGCTCGCCCAATGTGTCTAAAGAATAGATGCTCTGTGATCTTCGCGATGAAGATATTCATGATTGTAATGCAAGAGTTCACTATAGCTTTTTTACCATCACCCACTATAGCTCCTTTAAAAAGGCATGGTATGCCTATGAATTCTTTGTGATGTATATCTACTTCATGTGAATGTTACTATCCAAGTTGTTATAATTTCCGAACACGTCTTGAAATTGCAATCACCCTGATCGAAACAAGTTGAGGAGGTTATAGTAACGTACTTCTTTATCAGAGTCGCTGATTAGCGGTTACGAGCAAACCGTATCTATCATTGACAGCTTGAAAGAAAGCAAAAGAGTTAAACATCCAAAACAACTTGACATACGGAACCTCAATCTAACCTAATAAACCAGTAAAAGTTCACTCTTGATTAAACGTTCAAAAACCAACTCTCTACCAACACTTCTCCTTTTAAGATCCCTTGCCAGCTGAAACGCTACCGATGGTAATAGGACGACCACCAAGGAGACCACTGGGAACGGAAATTTGACTGGAAGGAAAGCAGCACCAGGACCAGACCCACGAGGAGCGCAATGCCCCACGGCGTGCGGCTGGCGCGGTACATGGTGTCGGGGTCGGCGTCCGGGAGTGGGATCACGAGCCGGCCGCTGTTGGCAGCAAGACAGCGGGCCAGGACGATTAAGAGCAGGGGCAAGAGCAGGAGGACGAGCTTCAGGCTGATGACCGTGCTCTCCATCTGCCTGGTGTAGTTGATGTGGAAGGAGAGCCAGAGCAGGAGGACGACGATGCCAAAGAGGATGATGACCGGCATGGGCGGTGGCGATATGGAGGCGATGGTCTGCTCCGTCCACCCACGTTTCCAGGCAGGGCCTCTCTTCTCTTTGATCAGCCACCCCATTATTCCTTCTTTCTTCCTATGGTTTTCTCCTCTAGCTTCTCAGCTTCTAGTTTCTTCTGGGCTAAGTATGTGAAGTTGGGATCAGGCCTCTGTGTGTGCGAGTTCAGATTTTGGCAGACTTTATAGGAGGTGAGAGATGCATCTCTCTGTGTCTGCTTTAGCACAAATTCTCGAGAGGGGGGGTTTTGATTCTATTCTCGCAGCCGACTTTTTCCTGTGACTAATGGCCGCTCGTATATCTCTTCTGCATTAAAAATTTTGTGGTTTTGCTTCTTGGGGTTGAAGGGAGAAAGCTGAGGGGATTGATGATTGAGATTTGGGAATGGGAATATGTTCTTTGGCCTTCTCCTTTTTCGATTTGCATGCAATGTTTTCAAGGCTTTACAGGTGGGGGGGGGGGGGGGAATCAAGTCATCTTTCGGGATATTGGTATTTTAGTGCTGAGAGATCATTAAATGGTAAGTAGGCTTCTATTGAATTTCCTGAGAGTTGTAGGTTTTCGAAACGAGACAGGTGGCAACCGCATGCACGTCCCAACCATGCATGATCGATCAATGGCATCGCTTTATATACTAGAATTAAACATATCAAAATAGATCATAAACCCATTTCTTAATTTATATCTGATGGACTAAGTTGTTATATAGATTAATTATATTCAGTGGGTTATTAATGGATTTAGAATGGTAAAACCTGAAATAATATCAGTGTTAATAAATGGGTTTACAATTTACTTAAACTTAACCTACTTTTATGTCTTTCTCTTCACTCAATCTCATGCTCTCACCTGAATATGAATTTTCCTATATTTGGTTAATATAAAAGTCTTTTAGAAATATGGATCGGGTCGATTATAGATGACTAGATTTGTATTGCATGAAAATTGGTCAAAAAGAGTTAAATGGATTGATTTGGATTGGACCATTTTCGACCAAACCCACACATTTGACAGATCTAACTAGCACTGAGCAATATTAGCACTTTCATCGAGTTGTAATGCTCTCGAGTTGATTGAGTTGCTGCTAGAACTGATCAAGCGATCAATTTGCAGTTATCAGGCTTATCGTTAGGCAATTTGCGTCAAGCTGACTATTACCATTTACCCTCCCACACACAAAGAAATGGGTTTTGGTGAAAACATACCTCATACACACTTATTATGCGACCAAATAAACAAAAATTTATAATTGCAAACGGCACTGCTCTTCTTGAGTTATGTGTGATCGATACTTTGAAAATCGATACACTTCATGATAAAAAAATGCTGGATCAATGCCTCGGAAGACACTCATTAACAATATCATATTGATAGTTGAAAAAATGGGCGCTCAATTTTTGCCCTCACTATCTCTTCTTTAGAAACACTAGCTATATGACATATTTGAACTTTCTAAATTAGCGTCGTTATATTTCGTCCATTATGTTGACAATTCATATATCCCTCGATACCTCTTATTATTCTACTTATAGTAGGTATGGACTTTATTGCAACGTATAAATATATATAGCAAAAGTTTGAGATTGAAGGTTACATGGGATTTACTACATTGTATGTGGAGTTATATCTCTAACCACATACCATGTGTTTATATTTTGATTATCGAGGGACACGAACGTAAAAGGCCGACTATACGTGTGTTGTGTGCACTTTGTTTTATCCCTTCTTCACTCCACAAAAACAATTACATAAATGCTAGACTTAGGCACGCTGGTTGAAAATTACTTTAATAAGCGATGTGTCAGATCGTGAATAGCCTTTAAAAAATCGAATTGTGTTAAAAAACCAATGAACAAATGGATACATCACTAAGTAAATCATTTTCGCAAACCAAAATTAAGTGAGTCTAGCATTTTCGAAACAATTAAAGTGTGTGTCTAATGTTAGATGACTCAGGAGGATAGTATTTAAGTAGGGGTGATCAGTTTCCAACCTAGAACCTGGAACTGGACCAACCGGTCGAGTTCAATTCCGGTTCAGTCTTGGAATCGGTGATTTATTTTCTTTTTTTTTTTTTTGGGGGGGTGGTTTCTTCTATTCCTTATAGGTGAGAATTTTCCAACGATAAAAGAGAAAAATAATTTACTAATTAGGATTTGCTTCAAAATAAAAAATATATATATAGAAAATTTGGCCGGTCCATTAGTCTATTTTGGGTGGTCTAGTTCCTTGCGTGGAACCGGGAACCATCCAAAACCAGCCGGTTTGGTTCGGTCCTGTCCAGTTCCCGGACTGAACCGAGACCAATGCACACCCCTAGTATTAAGCACGATTTTTTTCATAATAAATCAGATTAAGCCTCCTCATCTCGATTAATGGACAGTGGTCACTACGATTGTCCGAGGACGAGCCATGATGGGCTTGGCTAACATAGGAACGTAGACAATTTTGATGGACTGGGCCATGTGCTAAGGCCCAACCTGGCCTGTCATGTTCCCAACTTTTCATGACCCAAAAGTACAACAAGTGCAACAAAAATATCATGGAAAATTACCAATCGGGTCGGGTCGGGTCCCATCCAAACCCGAGAATTATTGTAGGTTTGCTATTACAACTATTTATTTACAAAACAAATGCGGTAAAACCACAAAACAAAATATCAAAATAATCTAAGATGCAAGAATTCTAAAATGAGATACTAGAAAAGGTAGATCATTTATTAATTTTCGTTTTTTTTAGGGTTTCATCCAAATAATCTTAAGTTTTTTTTTTCAATAAGAGTAACAATGATCGGGTTCGAGTCGTGCATTATCCGATAGATAAAATTGCCTAGCTCTTTTCACAACTTATACACATGAACCAGTGAGAGTATGTGTATCATGATTGGTCCACAAACTTAGCATAATTGCAATTTGCAAGTGCTATTTAATCACTATTTATTACAAATCAGACACATCCGATTATGTATCAAGGGTCCGTTTATTTGAAGGAGATTTGTTTTCGGAATTTTTTTTTTCTGACTTTCCTATGTTTGGATAACGACGAATTGACCGATTTACGGAAAATGAGACTCAAAACAATAAGTTTAGATTCGAGGAAAACGACTTCCCTTTCTAGTAAGAAGGATAATTTTCTTAAACCATCAAGCAAATAAAAATTAATTATTTTCCTCTAAATTGATTTCTACAAAAATATTTTTCCTTTATCAAGAAATTTTCCTCAAACGATACAAGCAATTGTTTGAAAAATAAATGTGCAAAAAATATTTTCATCGTTCACGAAAATGTTTAGACATAAATTAAAAGCGATTTCCATTGGCTAATTATTTCAAACGATAGAAACAGTAATTTTAAGGAAAATATTTTTCAAATCATTCAATTAGAGTCTAATTTTATAAAATTTAAGAAAAATTCCAAATAAAGACCCGAAATGCCCTTATTCTCTCAAATAAGGGCCTCAAGTGGATCTTGTTTCAAAGAAGAGTCCGAAATGGCATATCAATCTCAAAAAAGAGCTTGACCTTACCAGCTAGTTAGTAGCATTTTCGTCATTTACTCTCTTTTTTCCTTTTTTTTCTTTTTTCTTCTATTTTCCCTTTTCTTTTCTTTTTTCTCCCTCGTTGACCACCAGCAAGGCTAGCCCTCGCGCCTTGCTCGCGGCCGGCGAGGGCCTAGGCAAGGCGACCCTTGCCAGTGGCCGGCCGGGCCCTTGCTTAGTGGCTGGCGAGGGTCGCCGGGCCCTCGTCGACCCTCGCTGGCTAGCGACGAAGGGGAAAAAAAAAAGGAAAAAAAGAAAAGAAAGAACTAAAAGAACGAAAATGCCATTGATCAATTGGTGAGGTCATGCCCTTATTCGAAGGGAATATAGTCACTTCAGGTCCTTATTCGAAATAAAGTTCGCTTCATGTCCTTATTCAAAATAATAAGATTACTTTTGTACGGGTGGGGTATTCAATACAAAAAAGAAAAACACTTGCCCTTCCTCTCCCAATTGACCCTTTCCGGTTCTTCCTTGAGCCCTTTTTCCGCAAATCGTACGAAGCCACACTCTCTCTCACACGGTGCGTCTCCCTCCCTGCCTCGGTTTCCTCATATAAACCCTAAAGACCAATCTCCCCATCTCTCTCCGACCTACACGTGTCACCCACCCACATCCTTCCTTCGGATTTCTTTCCCCCCCCTTATAAGCCTAAAACACAATCTTCTCTACCCCTTCCCTCTTCCCTCTTCCCTCTTCCCATCCTTCTTCCCTCACAATTCTTCTTCTTACCCCCATCTCTCTCCCTCCTCCTCCCTAAGCGGCGCGCCAACTCCTGTCACGCGCGCAGGTCTTCTGCACAGACAGAGAGAAATCCCCAGTAGAGCAGAGGAAGAAGAAGAAGCCGTGAGAAGGGGAGGACGGAAGACAAGCATGGAGACAGAGCGCAGCGAAGCGGCTCCTTGCTATCTGGACTTCACCGAGGACGAGCTTCGGGTGGCCGACATCATCCTCGAGCTGCGGTGGCTCTTCGCCGATCGCTTCCCGCGGGGCTGGGGCGCCAAGCGCCGGAGATCGGCCCTCCGCGGCGGCGGCGGCTCCGGCTCCTCCTCTCCCCCCTCCCCCGCGGCCCCGTCTCCGGCGCCGCCGCAGCAGCAGCCGGCGAAGTGCCCGGGCCGGGCCGCCGCGATCGAGGAGAGGGCAGCGGGCCCGCCGAAGGTCCACGCGGCGAGCCCCGACACGCCGCTCTCCTTCTCCCCCAGCGAATCTGACGGCAACAAGGCCAAGCAATCCCACTCCAAGAGAAAATCCGCCAAAAGGGTATGCTCAAATTGCGTCCTTTCTTCCTTCTCCTCTGTCATCTTCGGCGTTGAATGTCAGTCCGATTTGCTGATTCACGTGGGCGTTCTGTTTTTTCCGTTCTCTTCCGCCCCGGGTTTGTGCAGAAGAGAGAGGACTGGTTGAAGCTCGTAGCGCTGCTGGAGGAGCAAGGCCACGCTCTCAGAAAGGTACTGTTTTTAAGCAATTTTAACGTCCCCTTTCGTTTCTGGAGCAATCCAATCACTGAGCTTCTCTGTCCCTCCGCGGCGCAATCGTCCCACGTTTGTTTGATTTGGTGCGCTTTCGAATTCGCGCAGGAGGTGGAGAATGTGAGGCGTTATCGCGACCAAGTGAAGGCGTTGAATTCGGAGTTGAAATCCAGGAAGGAAGAGGTACAGTACTGCGTCAATGGCACTATCTCCGAATTTCCCCCTTTTCTTTTGCCTTAAAATTTCATTATTAACCCTTTATTTTATTTCCTGTTCCTCGGGTTTTACAGCTGATCGTTCGGGCAATACCCGAAAGGTCCGAGCAAGGACCGGAACCGATCACCCGTTTGGCTCTGGGGGGCCAACCGGCCGAACCCACGGCCGCCGCGTCTCTCCCCCCCGGCTCCGATCGCCGCCTCCCGCCGATTCCCGATCAGGCGGCGAGCGCGCCGGAGAAGAGCGAGACGGGCGACCCGGCGGGCCCCTCGCCGCCGCCGCCGCCGCCGCCGCGGCAGCAGCACCGGGGGCGCGACATCCCGGACCTGAACATAGGGCTGGCGCCGCTGGACGCGGCGGTGGTGGACGAGGAGTGGAGCAACCGGGCGAGGGCGGCGCAGGCGAGGCAGAGGCGGAAGCTGATCTACAGGGCCAAGAGTACGGCCGCCGCTGTCAAGCCACGCGTCCAGCTTAGATGACGGGCGTATTTTCGCTCTCTTCTTCTTCTCTGTCTTTTTTCCCTTTTGCCAATTTCTCTCTCGCTCTCTCTCTCCTAAAGATGAGACGAATTGTGGAGGGCGAGCGCTAGGGTTTTGTGTTTTTTTCTCTTTTCTATTTTTTTACGGAATATTTGGAATTTGTAAAAAGAGAGAAGGTGGGATAGGGAAAAGAAATCTGTTCCCCTCTCCTCCTGCTCACGGCTCTCGCCATCCCCATTCTTATAGAATAATTTTTCCCCGATTCAGGATGCGATTACCGATTATACCATTTCCATAATTAAAAAAAGAGCGTTCTTTTCTCGGCTACGTAATTCGATTTCTTATCGAATTACGTTTTTGTTTAGTAAAAGATTTAAATTTTTTGGCTAAGTCCAATTCTAGTTCGCGGGGGGAGAGAGAGGGTCGCCGCTGGTCAGCAGAAACTGAATTTCCAACCTGTCAAGGAATTGGTCAGAACGCGGCCATGTTCCTCACGCGATCTCCGCCGAGCGTACCTTGCACGCGCGGTCCGTCACCTGGTTCAGCTTCTGGCGCGTTCACTTCACGCTCCTCGTACTCGGGTGGGGGGCTCCAACGACTCCCCCCCCCCCCCCCGCCCCCGGGACGCCGCGGGGTTTAAGGGCGAGGGGTAGATTGGTAAATTCCGGGGGGCCCTAGGTAGTAGGTTCCTGTCCTTGCCTTTAGGGCCCCAGCGGCTTTTTGATTTTTAATTGGTCGCGATTGCGATTCTCGAGCGGAATTCACGTTTTGGGCCGAAAACGCTTTGGTTAATTCAAAGAGACTTGACCGGAATTTCAAAACAAAGCGTTCGCTTTAGATTCTGATAAGAGAGTTTTACTTATTTTTCCTTATAATTTGGGGCTTCGTTGTCCCAAGAAAGAGAGGCGAATAGGATAGGCAGAGAGGGAAGGTGGGTTTATGTTTTTTCCGACGAACTTGTGAGCAAAAAATCATGACTGAGAACGTCTTCGAGGTACTCCCCAAACACACACGTGACCTAAAATAATTCGCTTTGCAAATGAGGGCGAGCTCACGCGTAACGAGAGATTGGTGGGTTAGTTGAGAATTGCAGAGTATGTTCATTCGGCTGTTTAAAAGATATTTTAACATAGGTCATATACTCGTTTCTTAATCCATATTTGATGGGGTGGGTTGTTATATGAATTGATATATTCAGTAAATAGGTCATGAATAGGTTTAGAATGATAATGCCAAAAATAATATGGGTATTACATAGGTTCACAACTTACTTAGACCCAACCTACCTCTATAACTCTCTCTTCACTCACTCAATCTGACGCTCGCTCAATTCGTCCTCTCGTTTCAATTTGGGTATGAGTTTTCCTAAATGATCAGGTCGGGTATGAGTCACTAGACATGTATTGTATGAAAATGGTCAAAACGGGATAAATGGGTCATTTTGGGAGGGCCCATATTTTACCCGACCCACCCGATTGACGGGTCTACTGGTTAGCAACCCGATCACGCCAAGGCCAGTAAATGAGCCCGAGCCCAAGCCCACCTACCCGAATCCGAACCAAAGCCATCGGGCTTGGGATTTAAAGCCCGTCGTGAAGCCCGCGAACGAGTGCGAAACCCTAGGTCGGTCTCTCCCATCGCTTATTTATGTCGCATTGACGCAGCTCCATCCTACCTCTGCGAGTACGGGCGATGCAGCCTCAGCACGGTCAACTACTATTCTAATCTCAGCTCTCTCTCTCTCTCTCTCTCTCTCTCTGTATATTTCTTATTATCAACTGAATTGTGTTTGTTGTTCTCGATTATATTATGGCTGTCGTGGCACGATTTTGATACTTGCAAGTGGGGGTGGGGATTCATGCAAATGACGAGGAACATGTCCGAACCGTGAGAAGTTGGGCAAAAGAGCCGACGATGTTGATTCGTCTCACACACTTCCATGACTCTGATGCATGCAACCCAAACCCCCCACTTTGTAACCCCCCTTTGTCCAAACTCGGTTGAATCCTGAACTCCTGACCTGGGCTTTTTCGCGGTAGCCTGTGGCATCCGATTCGCGTGGATCGTCCTCTGTCATGTATCATCTGTCTCGACCTGCATCAAACGGTGGTGTGTGTGGTGTGGTGTTGTTATGTTGTTATTGATGGGTCTTTGTGATCGGATGATGAGCCTTTGGGTTCGACATGTTTCTCGTGACTCGTCTCATCTGAGACACGACCCTTAATGCAGCCTCGATTCCTTTTCTCTCAATAAGCCCCCCTTTGCAAAATCATGTCTTGAACAATCCATCTCCTTCTTCAGGAGACAGTTAGAGATGGGGGGTCGTGTTAAATTGTCCTCTGTCTAGTCCAGCAATCGTGTTAAGGGGTGATTCTTAAGCATTTGCTGCGTAAAAAAAACTCAATTTTGTCTATACGATTACCCTTTAACAAAGATTTTATGGACACCCAAAAAGTTTATCTGTGTGCGTATGTATATGTTCGAGGAATAGATCTTTGAATTTTCTCCATGGCTACTTTTTTTTCTTTTTGGCCAATCAAATGAAGATCTGTATAACAAGATGAAAGAAAGGATGAGTTTTCTATCAGTGTAGGAGGGGAAAATCTAGGCGAGAGTCTAGAATTGATGGCTTCGGTGTTTTTTCTTTATTTCCTTTTTATCTATTTTTTTTTATTCCTTTCAAAAAAAAGCGATTCTTAAATTATTATATGGCGCATCTAATTTGAACTTTTTCTCCTCCATCTTTCATCATCTAGTTCTACCACGTAATAAAACTGTCTAAACTTTACTACGGCAAAGTATCTAGACAAATTGAAGTGAATAGAGAGTGCTGCGAATGTTGAAAAAACTGTTTGGTCCCATTTTATCGCGCGATTTTATATTCTAATTATATCAAATTTCTGGCGCGATAAAAAGATCGATGATGTCGCGATTGTCAAATCTGTTTGGTCCCGCGTTATTGCGCGGTTTAATATTCTAATTATATTAATAAATCGAGCAATTGTGCGCAAGGGAAGAGACCCAAAGTGGGCTTGGTAACTAAGCTAGGGCCCTAGATCCACAACCTAAGGGCCAACAAAACAATTTCGTGGCCATCTCAATTTTTGTGTATCCTACTCTTTCCGACAAATTTGCCTTTGTTATTGAAGGGCAAAACCCCCCCCCAATAAATCCAATTTTGACAATCCCACGCTGACAAGAACCGACTTTACTTGAAATTAATAAAGACCCTCTCTTTTTTCTTAACTTTGTTCAACTGAAATCCCCGCGTTCTCCAAAAGCAAACACGTTTTTTCACGGCGGTCCTGCCTTTTCGATATTTAATTATTTAGTGAGCCGTTCTAAATGTGTTTCGTGGTCATGAAAAGTCTTAACCCAATGAGAACTAATTGCAAGAGAATGTCGAGTGCAAGAGCCGCGACATTTCGCTCTCTTTTTCATAACGACTTTTTTTTATTTTTGTGAGAACGAAAGTCGCAACGAATATCGTCGAAGCACTATCTAGAGAAATCGAGTTACAGTGCTTAGGGAACGGATCTGACAGGCGGTCCGATCGGTACCCGGCCGAAACCGTCGCCGAAGACCGCAATCGACTGTCCGGATCACGGCCTCCCAAAATGCAAAGAGACTGAGTCAAATATCTCCAGTCAACTCAAACCCATCAATTTGAACGGAATCTAGACCCAGTTCATGCATGAAATTGCCCACGAAATTCCCATCCCAATTGAAGTACCATTTGTTTAAAGGATCGTACAGTTCAATCCATTGCCGTAATGATGCGATTGGTATGGAAGAAAGGTCCTCCACTCATATGATACTTTCTCGTCTTAATTATAATGATCACTCGATTACCCTCGATTGAATTCGACAAATCGACCCTCTTTCTCCATAATACCATCGCCCCATGTCCCGTTTCTCGACCTCTCGTCGGATGAAATTAAACTAATTCGAGGGGCGCCGAACACGAGTACATGTGATGTAACTTAACTTAAACTTTGGTCCTATCTATTTGCTTCCTTCCTCTCCCTCTTCCTCATCCATCCTAGGGTCAAACAATGCGAATTTGACCACAGGTGACGACTTTGCCCACGAGCATATTCTAAGCTCTCCATGTTCGCCATGATTTGAGACTTCTAGATTGTCTTTTTCTAATACTCCGAAGCTCTTCCTTATTTTGCCATTTCGTGTTTCCCTCGCATTGACCCTTTTTTGCTAGAAAATGAATTTGGGGAGAAATGACCTCGACGTAGTTATACACGGTCGCGATTGTATTTAATTAGTAATTAATCGAGTTTTTGGGAATAATCCCATTTCTTTTTACTTTTCTTGGAGGGGGGAAATGAGCCGATGCTAATCAAAGTCAACGGGGGGAAGTTTCTCATGTTAATCCCTATGGCGTGGATTGCGTGTGAACTTTTCTTCTTGCAATCAAAGCGGCGCTTCTTGACAAATCAAGGTCTTCATATCCCATCTCTTTTCTTCTTTTTATATGCTTAATTATATGAATTTTCGCCGATCCCTGCTGCATTCTCAAGCGGTTTTTTCTAATTTTTGAGTCGGAAATCCCGAGCGAGAGTCCGCAATTTAATAGCCCCGATGTTGGTTGGGAATAGGGGTTCGCCGGTTTTGGCGAGCGAAAGCGATGCGGATTGTTGTGAAATCACGGGGAGGGCCTAATTGCGAATTTTAACATGCATTTCCTCTCGAATGGAAAGATCAAAGTCAACATTGACGTTCAACTTCTAGGTAAGAGCATATTCTCTTCAATACATTTGAACAGGTCACACATGGCCTTTTCACGGTCTTCATCCTGCCTGAATATTTTACATCAATCGTCTTAGTCGCGGTTGTATCGAACCTTAGAGAAATAGCCCCCGCCGGTCTATTCCGTGTTTTTCCTTTTAAAATCTTCACGGCTGTCGAGAACTCGGCAACCAATAGGGCCGATGGAAGACACTCCTTTGTTTTCTACTAATTACATTCGAGATATATCTCTGTTGTCTTCGACCCGGTTTAACACGTGTTATCCGAATTACGTCAAACGAGAAGAAGCGCGGTTTTCACCGCCGAACCCACGTCACGAAATCATAAAAAAATAAAAAAATAAAAAACTCTGGTCAATCTTAGTATCAAGACTAGAGCATCTATTTGATTAAGTATCTATTTGACCAAATCAAAAGGTGGACATGTAGGTGTTCGAACATTGTGGTTGAAGTCACATTGGATTTGTTAAGAGTTGGGCAAAGAGTGGGCAACGTGCAATCTAAAACTTGCACGCGGCGATGAGCGGAACCATTCAAACTCCAAATTGCCTTTGCTTCGGGTTGCCTTGCACCGACCAGAGAGATGGAGAGATCTTGCGTTGGATTGGTGTTCGTTTGCTCTAATTTTTCAGCACCACCCAAAATATAAAGATGATCTTTCCTCCTCCTTTGGTCCCCAAACGAAAACAAATACAGGGCATGGGACCTGCGACAACAGTTTGCCAAGTCAACTTCGATTTCCCCACTTTGACCCAAAAAAAAAAAATAAGAAAACTTCGATTTCCCCACGATTACCAAGATTCATAAACAAAAGAGAAAATCAATTTTTGTGGTGGTATTTGTCTTGGTTTTGAGAAAAATTCGATTGAGTTGAAAGGGAGGATGTTCGGTTGCGATTACATTGGGTGGACGTTGATAAAATTTGTTTCCTTGACAATCCGTCGTAGTAATGAGATTTTAGAGCGTCGTAAGATATGCGGCGATATGGTGCGGGATGTGCCTTAGAGATTTCCGTCCAATCCTCGGTTTTGGGGTCACATTGGACGTCGATTATGTTTGTTCTGAGCACTCAGTTTGACACGGAATTTTCTCAAAATTGAGTCGTCTCACGTTTTGTTTCAATCTAATTATCTTTTTGCGTTATTACATGCAATTTTTTGTCGAGAGTGTTTTGGAGTTCTCTCTCTATTTGGTCTTATAAGAGGAAACGCTACGAGAGATGGTTAGAAACATCAAGTCAATTCTGAGTGTGGTTAAAGGTTGGAGTCGAAAGACAAGCAACAAAGTTGTGGAATTCTTCGTGAATTTATTGACCGTCGCTCTCCGAACGTGGTCGTACTTTGATCGAGTCAAGTAATTATGTGTACATTTCTCTTATATCACTGTCCACTAGTTTCAATTTGTTTGTTTAGTTCTTTATAACCGTGGACTCAGCTACGCGATCCAATAAAAGACCGAAAACATGATGAAGTTTAGTAATGATTTTTTTTAAAATAATGATTATTATCATATCCGATCAAAATTAGTTTGGGTGTTTCGAACATTCCTTTCATATTGAAATCACGGGGATATCTTTAACACTTTGGGGCACAAAAATGGGACATTTGCTCACAAATGTACGAAAAGGCTAGGCTCTTCCCAAGAAGTCAAAAGTTACTCGTCACATCACCAACAAAACTCTTCTCGTTTTCATAAAAATAAAAAGATAAAAAATCACCAAAAATACCGAATTATGCTTACCGTAACAAATTTACTTTAAATTTTTTTCTGTAATATAAAAAAATTCAAAATTTATATATGTGTGACACATATACCCTTCATTAAGGAGCACTATTACAAAGCTGCCTACATGGGCGTTGAAAAGCAAAGAGTATTGACATGGCACTTGCGCGATTCAAATAAAATTAAAACGAGTTTTTTGATCGAAAAATCTCATAATAAAACTTGGCGGAGGATACATTTTATAGGGTAAATATGCCGTAGCAAATACAACCGATAAAAAAAAACAGTAAATATTTGGTGACTTTTCCTTAAGATAAAAAGGCCAAAAAAAATCACGGCCAACTACCAGAACAACCGGAAATGGGGATTCAATGCAGAACAGGTGGCCAAAGAAGGAAGAGTCGCAGTTAAGCCAAAAGATGAAAAAAGTCAAAACTGGGGACAGAGAGAGAGAGAGAGAGAGAGAGAGAGAGAGAGAGAGAGAGAGAGGGAGAAACTGATAAACAGGGGAAGTTTGAATAGACCAGGCAGACAGTGACGTCACCACTCCTTAACATTAAACCGATGAAAAAACCAAGAACGCCCCTCAACACGGCAAAGGCAGGCAAGGCGAGGGAAGGGCGGGCAAGGCAGGCGGGTCTTTCCCAACCCCCCCGCTCCTCCTTCCCCGCCATTACAATACAACCTCTCTCTCTCTCTCTGTGTCGTGTCTGTGTCTTTTTCTTTTTCTTTTTCTTTTCTCCTTTCTTTTGTTGTTGTTCTTGCTGTTGTTTATGTTGTGTTGTGTTGTGTTGTGTTGTGTGTGTGTCAAGCTTCCGTTTTTTCGCTTTCAAGGTTCCGCCTTTATTTTTTTTCTTTAAAGAACGCGAGGAGAACAAGTCAACAGTTGCTGCTCCCCCCCTTATCTCCTCCGCCCGACACCCACCAAGCTCTCTCTGATTCGACGAAAGAATTCAAACCCCGCCTCACATTCGCCTTAAAGAAAGAGAGAGAAAGAGAGAGGGGGAGAGATTTCCCATTCGCTGCGGTCGCGAAATCAATGTTCAAAATCAAACCTTCCCCCACTGTCCACGAGATTTCCATTGTTGCTGGGTGTTACGCGTTAGCTCCCTCGTCATCCCCCCGCCCCTGCCCTTCCTTTTTCTTGGTCAAATCACTTGCCACCAGATCGCGATAATAGTTATCGGTAATGATAATTACGACAACTGACCAGAGATAGTATCTGGGTATATCGTATATCCTGCGTTCCTTCTCCTTCCACATCATAGCTAGCATCATCTCTAACATCATTCGTCTCCCCTTCCGCTTGCTTCCTCCTCACAGTCCTCTGTTTTTGTTTTTTTAACTAATCCACCGCCCTCCTGTTTTCTTCTCCATTTGGGATTTAAAATATATCTCTCTCGGCTGAGCGCTCCTCTGTTTGAATAGGTATTGGCTCTTTCTTTCTTTGTACTTTTCCTGCTGTTTGTGTTTCGCTTGTGAAGCTGTTGAATTCTGGGAACCCCGTGTTTTTTCCTTCTTTTTCCCCTCTACCCCCTTTTTTTCCCACTGACCCTCGTTTGGCTCTCGACGAAATGAAGGGGAAGTGTGGGAAGGATATGAGTTCTTGAAAAGGAAAATCTTCTCTTGTTTCGGCATTTGGGGTGAGAGTTTTGCTTTGGACGAGCATTAATCAAATGAGCTCGTACCAGCAGTTGCAGTGATTGAGCTGATCTCTTGTTTCTTGGGCTACTTTTCTGTTCAGTGCGATTTCGATTTGGTCTGGATTGAAAGAAAAAGAGAAAAGATGGGAGCGGTTTGTTCGGGGGGTACGGGCAAGCACACGACAGAATCCTCAGGGGCGAAGAGTACAGGATTTTCTGGGAAGCTCAAGTCAAAAGCCAGCTTTACCAAGTCAAGAGAGGTCTCTCATCCGAATCATAAGAGCAGTGATTATAGGAAGTCACCATCGAAGTTCGATTCCGGCGAGCTGCTCTCGTTCTCTAGAGAATTGAAGCCATCAAAGCCATCGACTCCTGCTAGAAAAGGACTTAGCAAGGTAAGATTTGCCTATGTGAATCTTGGTTTTTTGTGCGATTGTCATTCTTTACTGATGATCAGCAAAAAGTCGAGGATAGAACTAAGAAAAATTGCCATGGATGTCTATCATTAATAGATAAATTGTGGTCCATTTGAATCTTTGATGAAGCCAATCTGAGGGAAAGAAACTTGTGCCTATGCTAGTCAATTCAGGGCATGGGAATCGATGTCATTCTTAATCTTTCATAACGTTGAATTTGCCTAATTGGATTGGAATGCCACATGGAATTCTCATGCATTCCATGCTATGAAAAAGCATTGCATTTGGTGATCGACGAAGAAGAATGCAAATAGAACCAAAATGATGAAAATAAAAGTAGCGGTTATCACTGAAATTCCCGTCCAAACTGCAACAACTACGAGATTCTGTACGAAGGAGCAATAGCTGCAATTCTTGCTTGATATCAAAGCCTCAGCGCAGATTTTGATCTACCGCCGAGTAATTATTGTTCTTTATGGTGGATATGGTTGATGATCGAATAAATCATAACGCTGCATGCAATAGGGGGCATTGTGCCTGTTCTTCCTTTACGCTCAATTTTGAAAAGCAAAAATCACAAGTATCTTAGTGCACATATAAGGCAGAGAATTAGTCTTGCAGCAAATTAGTCAACTTGATTTTAAGCTTTCAAGAATATTACTTCTCCTTTCAAGTGGAAAGTTAGCTTGCTATATGCTATGAGAACTTTCTTGCCTGTCTTAAGGTTCGCAACTGTAAGTCCGATACTTAGCACATTGTTCAATAAGTTTCGTCCAACCTATCGTAAACTCAGAACTCTTCAGGTTGGCAGCAGGAGTTCTTGCTTTTCCAGTTGAAATCCTCTGTTAGTATATACTTTTGATTTATTAATTAATGTGTTGTTTTTTAACCTTTGACAGTGATTCTATTCTAGGTTGTCTTAGAAGTATTGGGCTGCTAATGGCTGAAATAGTACTCTTAATTTAGCAGAACAATTGTGGTTTAAGTTAATTTCTCGAGTGGAAATCTGGTACCTTTCTGGTTTGCCCTTTGAGTATTTATGTTTCCTATGTTGAAGTTTTTGACATTTTTCAGGTTACACCGAAAAATTCATTCATAGGAAAAGCCGGCATGATGGGTTTTGAGAGGGCAGTAGATGTTCTCGATACGCTTGGAAGCAGTGTGTCAAATCTGCATTCCGGTAGCGGTTTCTCTGGAATGGCTTCCCGGGGAAATAGGATTTCTATACTGGCATTTGAGGTAGCTAATACAATAGTCAAAGGTGCAAACTTACTGCAATCTCTGTCAGAAGAAAATATCCAGTTCTTGAAGAAGGAGATTTTACACTCTGAAGGGGTGCAGCAACTGGTTTCGAGAGACATGAAAGAGTTGCTAAGTATCGCTGCTGCCGATAAAAGGTATAAGTTTTTACGTGAGAAAGGAGTTAAGAGGCCTTTGAGCCTCATCTTTAAGTAAGCATACATCGAACTTGTGGTTTAATAATGCCTAATGTTCTTGGGATGTATGCAGGGAGGAACTTGATGTCTTTTCACGGGAAGTCATTAGGTTCGGAGACTTATGCAGAGATCCGCAATGGCACAACCTGGGTCGACACTTTTCGACGTAATTAGGCTCTAATGAAGCTTTGTTTTGGGTATGAGTTCCCCTCCAACGTGTTGATAGTAACTCAATTTTCTTGGAATGACCTAATTGTCACAGACTGGACGTGGAAGACTCGGGCAACGAAATTCTAAGATCTGAAGCAGAAAAGACAATGCAAGAATTGAGTACTCTGGCCCAGCATACCTCTGTAAGAATTATGTATACGCGTCAGATCTGCCTGCTAAATTTTAGTTGCTGACCCATTATCTCTACTTGATTCTGCATTGCATAGAATTTAATTCTATCTATTCCTTGGAAGCATTGTCCAATTCTAGAAATATAATAGGATTAAGTGTTCACTAATATTCTTCCAAGTACCTTACCAAAAAAAAAATATTCTTCCAAGTACAGTTAATATATCTTCCGACTCTTTAGAGATGTGTAGTTGGAAGGATGTCTGTCCCGCATTTTTTTGCTCACCTGAACTTCTACATGATATGGCAGATATTCATACTTAAATGAAGTTTGTTATCGTGAGGAAACAAATATCACTTCCGTTACACGACAGATGATTTTCTCTAGATATTCTTTCCTTTTCAAATCTTTTCACACTCGACTAGTACATGTGTCTTTGGTGGTCTAAGCCAGGCTATATTCTTGGAGAAGTTAACATTTTCAAAATTTGCAGGAACTGTACCATGAATGGCAGGCTTTGGATAGATTCGACCAAGACTATAGGCAAAAGCTTGAGGAAGTGGAGTCTTTGAATCTCCCTCGTAAAGGTTAGACTTACGACTACATTTGTCCTGATAGTTTTACTACCTTTCACAAGGAAAAATGCAGCTGCTTAAGTTGTTGACATGACTAATTCAGGTCTTCAGACTTGCTTCATTTATTTTCTTCTCTTCTTCTTTGGTTTTTTACGACTTAACAAGCTGGTTACTAAATATCAAACCAAATCAGTTGCTGCTCCCCTACTTAAAGTAGTGGTGCTGTAATAATTCTAATCGCTTTTGTTCTTTGGATGTTAGGAGAAGGTATCTCGATGTTGCAAAGTGAGCTAAAACATCAAAGAAAGCTTGTAAAGAGCTTGAAAAAGAAATCTCTCTGGTCTAAAAGCTTGGAGGAGGTAAGAGTGGCTACTTGTTAGAGGATAAGTAAATACTCAAGTGGAACTGCACTTTGTGAACTTTCCTGAAGATGCTTAATAAACATGCACACTTACAAATTCGGTTTCTCGTATTAGTTCATCTCTATGTACTTATTGATATGTTTTAATTGCCTTTTGGCCCTTTCTCATCGAGAATTTATCCCATCTCTAGCGTCGATTGGTTTTATAGCACTTTGACACTGGATCGCTATTGATACTTTATTGTCCGTCTTTTACTGGACATCATGTTTTTGTCGCTGATGATAATTTCTTATAATGCATTGTTCTTATTGCAGATCATTGAGAAGCTTGTTGATATTGTTACCTACATACATCAAGCAATCTGTGAAGCTTTTGGAGATAATGGTACTCATTTTATTCACTTTAGTAGAGAAAAAACTACAAAAAGATTTTGAATTGCATGGCAGATCTACGGCATCTGTACTGTGTAGTTATGTCGAAATATTTTAATAGAAAGTAATACGAAGCAATTTAAAAAAATTGCTCGTATGTAATCAACTCATATAAACCTTGACTCTGGCAGTCATGGTGATGCTTCTTTAGGTCTCAAGGACACTGAGGTACGAGCTCAGTTGGGTCGTCATGGTCATGCTTCTAATGCTAAGTTGTCACTTCCTTAAGATATTTTTGTGTTTTAATTCGCGAGTCAACGGAAGTAAGGAGAGAAACAAATTAAAAGGAAAATAGTAGCACCTTGTGCAATCCTTAGTCATCTTTGTGGATTTTGTTATTCGTATGTGTCCCCTAAAAATGTTTTCTGCTAGAGGTGACTTTGAATTGTCAAAGCTGGTCTCTTTCCTTTTGGGGGTGGAAAGGATTCCCCTCGGGTTTACTTATCTGGCTCAAGAGAGGATCGGTATAACATCTTTGTATGCTTGCGGACCAATTATCTGCATATTTGCAACTCCAGTCAGTATGAAAAGACCAGTGACTGAGACTTATCTCTTTCTACCTAGCCATCCTTACTATCAAAAGCATGCAAGCATCTTATATTTAATTTCCGGCCTTAAGTTGAGCAAAATGCATTCTGAACCACATTGCTCGTGCCCAATTACCAGGTTCGACATCAGTCTGGAAGGATGCTAACAAAAACAATGACAATCCCGAAAGGTTGGGCGTAGCTAGCCTTGCATTACACTACGCCAACCTAATAAATCAGATAGATACAATTGTAAGTTCCCAACTGTCTCATTTACAAGAGGGTATCCACATGTTTTGAAAGTAGTGTGGAGATTTCGCCCGAAAAAAGATCTTTTTTTCACTGATTGCGATCTTCTGTATTACTTTTCAGGCGTCCCGTCCAGCGTCCCTTCCTCCCAGCACAAGGGACGCGTTATATCATGGGTTGCCTCCTTGTGTTAAGAAAGCTCTACAGAGACAACTGCAGCATGCTGATACCAAAGAAGAGGTCCGTGTTGCATCAGCAGTGGTGTCAACCACGCTGAAAATTGCTTCCCTTGGTTTTAATCATTTGTTGCATATTAATTTAGTGTTAGCTGCTGCTTTCTCTCACTAAATGACTAATATCTGTTTAGCATTTTGCTTTCTTCAGCTGTCAGTATCTCAGGTGAAGGCCGAGATGGAGAAGTCTCTTCAATGGCTTGTTCCCGTTGCAACAAATACTATTAAGTAGGTTTATCGGTTATAATGATTTGTTTCATTGCCGCGCAAAATGTTCTCATTTTGTTTTTAGGCTTCTATTCATGTCGTTTATATTTCTCTATTATGTGAACTGAGTGCAGAGCTCATCAAGGTTTTGGCTGGGTTGGAGAATGGGCAAACAATGGGTGAGCCAAACTCTCTCTCTCTCTCTCTCTCTCACACACACACACACACACACATACACGTGCATGCACGCATGTGAGGGTGTGCACACAGATGCACTGCTGAAGATGCAAAGAAAACGTTTTTTTTTTTGCTAAACCGAAGATCCAAGGAAGATGCAAATGTTATGTATTAATGATGCGGCATAATGTCATCGAATGTAGAAATAAAGCCAAACATTCGGTTAGAGTTTGTTAGATCACTTGAGGGATCAATCTTACTTTAATATCTGTTGGGTCACTCTTATTGAAGTTCTGGTCTTTCGTGGACAGAAATGAGTTTGGCAAGACCACATCTACAAACAACAGTCTGATTCGCCTCCAAACCCTCTATCACGCGGATAAGCACAAAGTTGACCTCTACATCCTCGAGCTAATCACATGGCTTCACCGCTTGATTGCTCTTGTTCAACACCGGGATCACATGATCTTCAAGTCTCTGCCCCTTCAATCTTCAAATCCCAAGGGCCAGGGTTTTCATCCCAGGATACAGCAATCTTCACCGTTGAACTCCGGAGTAAAAACGAAATCAATGCTAATTTCACTAGAAGATAGGATTCTCTTAAACCAGGTGTGCTGCAGGAGAATGGTCCCAGGGATCAGCAAGAGTCAAGAATTTTCATTCTCTAGGAAGAGGAACAGCAAAGTGTGGGCACTGAGCAGGAGTACTGGAAGCTCGCCGACGTGGGAACACAGAAATTCTAGTCTTTTGGATTTAATGGACGGGTTAGAGTAGAAAAACGAGTTCCTTGATTTTTTTCCTTCATTCAATTTATAGTATCGTATCATCTATGATGCATAGCTCCTTGTATGTCTATCAATGTATATGTCCCTCAAATCATGGATCACCATTATACATATCACCAACAATGGCGTATCTCTACTGATAACCGGAGAGTGGCTGGTGAACTTTTCTTTGGTTCTTTGTGAGAGAAAATTCAGAAAGGGTCAAGCTTATAAAACCCTTAAAGGCTGTCGTCAGTATCTATTTTAAATACAAAGCTCACATTTGAAAATTATGATGATTTCACTACAACTGGTGTAGGAAACTTTTGTGCTCACTCATATCGGTCTTACGCGATTGTCCAGATCTCTGCAATGTCAATTGACTCGTTGTCATTCAATCTCCAACTTTGAACTGGGGACGTTCCTTATATGGTAGAAATACTTCATACCTTAGTATACTGCACAAGTCATTGCAGCCTAGCAGGTGCAGATTGCCCAGCAACATGTTGAATGTTTCTCCTCATAACGTGGCACCATTATTCCTATGCATTTACGTCCTGCTGTGTTACGTCGCACGGCAGCCACAGAGAACCGAAATCAGGCTGGTTAGGTACTTGCTTTGCTGCATTGAGCAGCCCTGTCACTGCTGCTGCTACATCAGCGTTGTCTCCAAATCCTTTTTCAGCTAACTGGACTGGAATGCCCCGCGGCAGCGATACTCTGCAGTGCCGATCTACACCACAACCGCTTTCATTGATGCACTGAGAATAATCAATGAATTCAGATTACCATGGACGCAGATCTCTCTCTCTCGGGCTCTCCCGGCTTATCTGACCAATAGCACTTGTCGTACGATGCAAACCGGTCTCTTCCCGCAAGCAAGAGGATCCCTTCCCAGCATTATTGCATCAAAGAAACATGCATACACGTCCGAAAGTCACAGCGCGAACTTAATTCATCTTGAGCGTTCATATGTCCGTTCCGATTTTTGGGTCCCCAAAATAGATGGTAAAAGCTAAGTAAGCGAAGCGGCTTAAGCCAAGAGGGAGAGGCGGGCGGTGGCTGGTTGGTGAATTATTCATGAACAGGAGGCGGGTGACGTACACGTACGACAACGGAAAGTCCCACATCGACAGGGAGGAACGGAGCGCATAAGGAGCTTGTTCAATAAAAGAAGAAAGGTGGCACACCGGTTAAGGCATGATCCTTCAGGCAGTTTAACGGGGGATGATGAGTGGTCAATGCTTGCGATAATACAGGATGCGAGATGGGCGTACCGGCCCAAAGCCTGGTTACGACAACCCGGGCGCTCCAATCCTTCGTACCTTCTGATCCCCAATGCCTCGAAGGAATCACTCACTTGTTGCTAGTGATTGCCAAATATGCCTAAAAGAACTTACATTTTCAATTCAAGCTGTCTAAATTCCTGTTATGTCAAAGTGACTTTGAGCTGGACATGGATTCCGGTTTTGAGGGTCGCGTGTCATGTCAAAGTGAATTTCAAATGATTGACTCACCTTTTCGAACTGTTTTTGGCTGGTTGGTGCAAACAGTAGCAGAATTAAGAAAAAGTTTTTCCTCTGTGAGCTCCCGCGGATTTGTCTTTTCTGAACCTCCGCTGCTATCTCCGCTGCTATCTTGTTGTGTGGAGTCAAGATGGATGCAGACCCATGGGCCTTGATAGGCATATTGGGCAAGTTGCAAAGGCAACGCTAGCTTTAAATGTCCAGCTTGAGCCTTGGGAACTACTTTTCCAAGGGGTTTTGGGCCTCTAAAATAGGAAAATTTTTGGGTGTTTGATGTCTTTTTTTCAATTCACCTTGAGGAAAAGTTGGCTTTGCTAAGGCTAGAAGCCCAAGGAAGGATCTTTCCCGGCATACAAGTTCCACAAGTAATAAGATTTTCTTAGTTTTCTTTATTGCCCTAAAAAACTTATTAAAAATTCCAACTTTGCCGTCTATTTTAGAAACCCTAAATCTCTTTCCGCTCGAGATTAGGCGAGGTAACACCTGGGGTTGGGTGACCCTAGATCGCGCGACCCAAGCAACCTTGAGGTAGTGTGACCTTAGGTAGTCTTGTTTGAGGTCGCTAGATCTAGCCCATGACGGCTGTGTTACATTGGAAAGGTTTGCAAATTTTTTTTAAAAAAAAGCCTAGCAAGTCATTTACAAAGTGTTGTTTTTTTCCAAACGGCTTTTAAATCAAAAGTTGCTTCCCAATATGTTTTTAAATTATACTTTACCAAATACTATTTGCATTTTAGAAAAGGGTTTAATACCACGAAAAACCCTAAACTAGTACACATGTGACAATTTTATCCGAATTAATTTTTTGATCATAAAAAACCTCAAACTAGTAGACCTGTGACAATTTTACCCCACACTATGTTTTGACCACCAAAAACCCCACACTGGTAAACTTGTGACAATTTTACCTCGAACTAATTTTTTGACCACCCCAAACTGATATACCTGTGTCAATTTTACTTCAAACTAATTTTTTGACCACTAAAAATCCCAAATTGGTGTATTTGTGACAAATTTACCTTTCCTTAGTGTTCGTTAAATTGGATTAATATCACGAAAAATCACAAATTAGTAAACTTGTGACAAGCAGAGGGGTAAAACCTCAAACTGGTACACCCGTCAACTATCATGTGTCATCAAACTTAGCAATTTGATAGTAAAATTTAACGGGAACTAATGGAGGGTAAATTTGTCACAGGTGTACCAGTTTGGGAATTTTGATTGTCAAAAAATTAGTTCGGAATAAAATTGTTACAGGTGTAACAGTTTGAAATTTTTTGTGGTTAAAAGATTACTTCGGGGTAAAATTGTCACAGATGTACCCGTTTGGAGTTTTTTGTGGTCAAAAAATTAGTTTAGGGTAAAATTGTCACAAGTGTACAAGTTTGGGATTTTTCGTGGGATTAACCCTTTAGAAAAACCCTTTTAAGGCTTTCTCCTATAGTGTTTCCAAACACACGCTTAGTTTTGGAGAGAAGCCTTCCCCCTCTTCGGCCTGAGTTTTTAGTAAGGTTTTGAAATCTATATCCGCCATTCATTTTCAAGGATTCTCATATTATGGAACACTTTTGAGGGACGTAACGCAATTAATTGTGTGAAGCAAAGGACTTCCACTTATGCATTAAGTTATTTTGACATAGGCTAGACTATATCTTCAATCCCCACTTAAAAGAAATATGGACGTGACAAACTCTAAAACGAAGTTCAATTTGTTACTTGAACATATGCGGCTAGAGGGTATGTGTTCTAGAATTGAACTAGTCTTCTCACAATTTGAGCACTTGTATTGATATTGTGTGAATGAATCCTCTTAGTATGAGAAAAAGAACTAGAGAAAAAGTGCTTCTAGAAAACTTAAAAGCGAAGGGAAAAAGCCACAAAAAACTCCAAACTATGCTTACTGTGACACATTCACCGTAAACTTTTTTTGTGATATCAAAAACCCTCAAACAATATCAACTGTAATACATATATCCTAAAAATTTTCCGGTGACATAAAAAACTCAAACTTGTGCTAATGTGGCACATTTACTTTCCATCAAGGTTCAATCAGATTATTTTTTTAGCCAAATTGGTCGTTTTTATTTTACTTAAGCCGCGTGGGCGCCATGTCAACACTGTTTGCATTCTAGCGTCCATATATGCATATTTTTAACAGTTTTCATTGACAGAATTTTGATGGAGGGTAAATGTATCACACAGGTACAAGTTTGAGATCTTTGGTGTTACAAAATTCTTTTTTAAAGTAAATGTGTCACAACGGGTATAATTTAAGGTATTCGGTAGTTTTTGCCCAAAGAAAAGAAAGAAAGAAAGCTTCGACAAAACTGAAACGTTGTTAGACTGGACTCTAAGGGCGCGAATGGTAACCATTCTGCTCCAGAAATCAAATTCTTGCCAGAAATTGATTTCCGGAATTCTTGCCAGATTTTTGGATGAGAAATCAGTTTGATAAAACATGACTAATTCTGCTCCAGAAATTGATTTTTGGAATAGAAATCTATTTTGATTTTTTTTTGCACCTAGAAAAAATTAAATTTCACTCAAAGTGGGTGGCCACATGTATTCTAAGCCATTCTGTGAAGTTTTGAAATTTTTGATTTTTTGATTATTTTGGTCACCTCAAAAAAATTAAATTTCACTCAAAGTGGGTGCCCAAAGGTATTCTAAGCCATTTTGTGAAGTTTTGAATTTTTTGATTTTTTGATTTTTTTGGGCACCTCAAAAATATTAAATTTCACTCAAAGTGGGTGCCTAAAAGTATTATAAGTCGTTTTGTGAAATTTTGAAAATTTTGATTTTTTTGGGCACCTCAAAAAAAATTAAATTTCACTCAAAGTGGGTGCCCAAAGGTATTCTAAGCCATTATGTGAAGTTTTGAAATTTTTGATTTTTTTATATTTTTTGAAAAAAATTCACCAAATTTCCTATTTTCCCGAAATCTGACTTTTTTTTTTATTTTCTGGAAATTTTTATGAATTTTTCTGGAATTTTTCAATTTTTATGTATTTTCTGAAAAAAAAAAATAGTGAGATCTCAAAATGTGTTGTAAAGGCCATGAAAAAGAGGGAAAATAGGGAGAATGCATTCTGGAAGAGAGAAGTTACAAAAAGTAGCTTCTCTTTTTCTTGCCCAAAACTCATTATGGTATCAAGAATGTATTCTGGAATCAAGTATTTTTAACAAACGCATTTTTATTCCAGAATACAAAAATTGCTTCAAAATGCATTTCGGAAATTTTTTAACAAACGCATTTCTATTTCGGAATGCATTCTGGAGCAGAATTTCTACTCCAGAATGAATTCCATGCGTGCCCTAATTTGATGGTGGCAGATGTTGACCCACATCGACGAAGAGGGAGGGAGTGCATAAGGAGCTCGTTTCATAAAAAAGAAGGATGGTGGAGGGACTAAGGCATGATCCTTCAGGCAGTTTAACGGGGGATGATGAGTGGTCAATGCTCGCGATAATACAGGATGCGAGAGGGGTGTACCGACCCAAAGCCTGGTTACGACAACCCGGGCACTCCAATACTTTGTACCTTCTGATCCCCAAATGCCTCGAAGGAAACCCCACTTATTGCTAATGATGGGCATATATGACTAAAACAAATTTACATTTTCAATGCAAATTGCTGTTTTTGCATGCGTGTATGACTCGCAGCTGTTTGGAGTCTGGTTTAGGGTTCGGGATTTTGTGGTTGCGAGTCTAGGCATCGACCATTTTGGCTTATAGGATCTTAAGTCCGAAATGCTCATCGGGGTGTCGAGGCTTGGGCCAAATGACTTTGAGCTGGACATGGATTCCGGTTTTGAGGGTCCGGTTTTGAGGGTCGCGGGTCATGTCAATCTGAATTTCAAATGATCGATTCACCTCTTCGAACCGATTTTTGCTGGTTGGTGCAAACATATGCAGAATTAGAAAAAGTTTTTCTTCTGAGAAGAGCTCCCCCTGGATTTGTCCTTCCTAAACCTCCACTGCTATCCTGTTGCGTCGAGTCAAGATGGATGCACACCCAAAAGGGCCCTGATAGGCATAATGAGTTTTGGGCCTCCAAAACTCATTGGGAAAAACTTTGGGCGTCTGATGATTTTTATCCAATTCACCATGAGGAAAAGTTGGCTTTGCTAATGCTAGAAGCCCAAGGCATGTCTTGGGGTGCCTTGGGTTTTCAACTTTCTCGGCATAGAGTCCCACAATTAATAAAATTTTCCTAATTGCCTTTATTTTTTTTAAAAAAAACTAGCAAAAATCATTTACAAAGAGTAGTTTTTTCGAACAGCATTTGAGTTAACGTTGCTTCCCAATATGTTTTTAAATTACACTTTACCAAACATTATTTGCACTTTGAAATCCCCTACAATTTTTCCAAAGGCACCCTTAGTTTTGGAGAGAAGCCTTCCCACTCTCTGGCGTGAGTTTTTTAGTAGAGATTTGAACTCTATCTCCACCATTCATTTTCACATCATTCTCAAATTAAGGAAAATTCTTCCATGGACTGTGTGACTTCGATTTCCCTTCACTCTTTTCAATCTATTTAACCTTAGTCTCGTGAATTTATCACATCACAAAAATGCGATGTCCTCCATTGAATATGGGAACACTGTTGTGGGACGTGACGCCATTAATTGTGTGAAGCAAACAACCACCACTTATGCATCAAATTATTTTGACATTGGCTAGACGATGGCTATATGTCCCACTTAAAAGAAATATTGAAGTTACAAACTTTGAAACGGAGTTGAATTTGTTACTCGAAAATATGCTGTTGGAGGTATGCATTCGATAACTGAACTAGTCTTCTCACACT